ATAAATCCCTCCCAGATTTTTCCGTCGGAGCCTGTTCAAGGGATGTTTGTCCAGCTGGCGTGTTTACCACAAGCTAAACCGGGTCGTCAGTTATCCATCCCACCGGCCCCAAGGGTTATCTACAACATGAAGGGCAAATTTATTCTGCAAACCCACCCGTTCGGGACCCTTTTGGACAGTCTGACCCGTCTGCAGGTTACAGAAAACTTCGGTGCCCCATCCCGAGCCCATCTTAATCCCAACTGCAAACAAACAAAAAGCATCGCCTTACCTGCGCACCGCACTTAATGCGCCGAGTCTCCTGTCGCGGGCGCTTTCCCTGACCTCGAGAACGTACCACCATGCTTACAGACCAGAGTCTTGTTGTAGTACCCCCATTCTTCCGGTATACCCGGCGCTTTTGATCCCGCGGCCTTGATCTTGTTGTTTCTCTCCGCTACCTTGCTGGTCGTGCGAACGCGAAAACTCTGCGGCAAATACACGAAAACAGACGTCAAACTGTGTGCCATAGTAAATTCCATGAGAACACGACCATACCTGGTACGTTTGTTGCATGTACTCGTCCAGGTATACATGCAGTTCTTCCCACGAATCGAAGCGCGTCTGTTCCAACGGAGGGGCGAGGACACAGTCCGAGCTTTCCGACGACCCATGGCTTTGCGTGTCCACTTGACTGGACGTGTCGGATCTGGGCGTGCGTGAGCTGTCGGATGATAGCGTCCATCCCTCGTCGCTGACGTTGCTCCCGCTGTCGCTCTGGTTGTCGTCGCTTGCCGTCACGTGCGCCCTGCGCTTCTGCGCCGATCGCGGGCGGCGCTCCATTTTGGGCGCGGAAATCTTTCGAATGAAAGGGGGAGGCGGCGCAATGCCACTCAATCTCTTTTGAGGCACTCTCATTCGAGGCAATGTATACGTGAAGTATACAGTACGCCCCGTCCGGATGGCATCCAAATTGGGAAATAGTTATGCAGAAAAGAGCCATGCAGAAAGCCAGCTCTCAGACGGGCTCCCTAGTCACTCTCAAAATCTTTCGCGGTTCGCAAAGCTCTCCGTGACCAAGACCGTCCATGGGATTCAAATCGAAAATTTCGTGAAGCGCAAGCGGTTGCCAGCTCCATCGCA